TTAAGTGATACCAAAAAATTTTATTTTATTTAATAATTATAATTATATAATTTAAGTTATTGAACACCCTATTTATAAAATGTATATATATATATATTGGGAAATAGTTTATGTTAAGTAGAAAATCAAGATCCGATGGAGATTAAAGGTTTTTTTTATTATTATTATTTTGGGTTAAAAAAACGCAGAAACAATGCAACTGGCTGGGGGCAGCAGCAGCTAGCACCCACCTCTCTTTTTTCTTCTTGTCCAATTCAAAAATCAACCTAGAAGATCCGGAAGATTCTGGATCATATCTGCCGGATCGTGCTTTCCAAACTGTCAGATTTTCCAAAGCATTTCTTGTATTGTGTTGACATGGCCTTGTATTTAAAACTCCTCCTTTCATCCTCCTTTTCCCTCATCTCCCTGTTCCGCTGTCAATCCCGCAAATACCATGGGTATGGGTATGGCTGCAGAGACCCAGTTTCATGTTTTGGCCGTTGATGACAGCCAGTTTGATAGAAAATTGATTGAAAGGCTTCTCAAGATTTCTTCTTATCAAGGTGGGTGTGAGTTTTCTTTTTGGGAAAAAAATTAAGTCTTTATTATTTTTGCATTTACGGTATGACTTAGTTGCGCGCATGACTCCAGTTTACTCAAAATTGATTTGTTTGTTTTGTTTCTTTCCTGGGAAAGTTTTATGCTTTTGATTGGAAAAGATTTGTGATGGGAAATGTTGTGTTTTATATATGCAGTTACTGTTGTGGATTCAGGAAGTAAGGCATTGGAGTTACTGGGTTTGTATGAAGATGAAGAAAGAAATTCAAACTCTGCATCTGTTTCTCCTTATCATAATCTTCGTCGAGATCATGTAGAAGTTAATCTGATTATTACAGATTATTGCATGCCAGGAATGACAGGCTATGATCTCCTAAGAAAGATTAAGGTACGTAACAAATTTCTTTTATTTGGGAATTGGGATTGAATCAGAGATACAGATTACTACTAATAAATCTCTGATTGAATCTTAACAATTAAAATTAACGCTAGGATCTCGTCTGGTTTTAATTTCCAGGAATCTGAATCCTTAAAAGACATCCCAGTTGTGATCATGTCCTCGGAGAATGTCCCATCAAGAATTAACAGGTGAGGGACAATTCCAAATTGAAAAACACACACACACACAC